CGTCGTTGCCAAGCGACGAAACCCAATCCCGATGGCAAACACCGGGGGCGGCTGCTTGTTTTACAACGTCGTTGCCAAGCCACGAAAACCCAACCCCGATGGCAAAACACCGGGAGGGGCGGCTTGTTTTACAACGTCGTTGCCAAGCGACGAAAACCCAACCCCGATGGTAAACACCGGATTTTTTAACTTTCCTCGCAATCACGACATCACCAATTTTTGTTTTATTTCGACCTCTGTAGGGGTTAGGTGTCCTGAGTACAAACGACTTTATTGATAAGAACCACCTCGTTCGACCGTGGTTACATTTCGAACGGGCAAGTCTTTCTTTCATCGTACGCGTAGTTTCGTAACAACAAAAACAAACCTCTTACAAGTGCTCATGGGACTTGGTCTTCTCGCAGGCGTGGTCGGGGGAGTACTCCGTCGTGGTGCCCAACACGGTGAAGAAGGTGGTGTCCCAGTACGCGCCCATGTTCGCGGGGTACCAGCAGCACGACGCCAGCGAGCTCATGAGCTTCCTGCTGGACGGCATCCACGAGGACCTCAACCGGGTCCACAAGAAGGTACGTATGCTGTCCGACCGCTGACGGCCGTTTTGTCTATTCTTTCTACCATGCAGTGACGTTTCGTGGCCATGGTGTTTGTATTGATGTGAGGACCACCACTTTCGTATGACAGGTTTCTACGTAGATGTCAGGGCCTAAGCCGGGTTCCACAATGTCTGCTGTCCTGTTGGGCGACTCTTTCGTTGTACCCTCTGCCATGCAGTAGCGTTTCTGCCGAGTATACCGGTTGTGTGAGGACCCCAACCAGGTTCACAATATCTACGTAGAAATGTCTGCGTTCGTAGATGTGCCCATTCGTACATCTCGATTCGCCGGAAGTTCCACGAATGCGGTGGGATTTCCACGTACGTGTAGTGCGCGTTAGAGATTCATGCAGCAGTCGCCCACGCCGTTCTGTGGCCATGGTTCTAGTGCCCCAGAGCCTGGTGGGATACCTTTCAGGGGTGATGAGTTGCGCGTAATACATACTGCGGGATCGCCTTCGCGAAGACTTCATTTTGATCTATGAAATAGAGGGGGGGCGCATACTCTCATGTTTTGCATGCCTTGCGGTTAAACTCCAACCTATCTCTAACCCCCAACCGCGTACCCCCTAATACAACCGAGTTTGTTGATTTCCCCGCAAAGGCTACTTGCCATCATTCAGCCGCTTTTTTTGTTTCTTTGCTTATTACGGTTTTGTCGGCGGCTTCCTCATGTTTGAAGGGGGCAGCCGAGCTTACTCTCCTCGCCAAGGCTACTGATACAAGGGTACTACCTTATTTCTTCTGCCGCCCTATTTTTGCTTTGTGCCGTTTTGTCGTCGGCGTTTGCTTTTTGGGGGGGTGCAGCCGTACATGGAGACGGTGGACTCCGCGGGGAGAGCAGATCGTGTGGTGGCAGAGGAGAGCTGGAGGCGCTACCTCATGCGAAACGACTCTGTCATGGTCGACACGTGCACGGTGAGCTAAGTAGAGCGAAGACACTCAACTTAAGACCGGTGTGTTACACATTCCTATGCCATGTTAAGTTCAACTGCATTTTCCTTTGTTTTTTCTGTTATCCGAAGCGCACTCATGTACTTGCGTTACGATACGCGCGTGTTCTTGAAGTGTTGGTGTTTTTTTTTTTTCCTTTGTTTCATTGTGGGTTTGTGGAAGGCCTATGACCCATGTATCTTTTCATCTTGGGCTGTCTCTTGTCTATGATAGCAAGCTTTCCCTGGTGTGAACGAAGTGTTTGCCGTGGCCTCGAGCAAAGTATGTGTGCCTCGGAATCAGAGCTCCGATGAAAACAACCCCCCAGTAAAGGTGGTGGGCATGGACGAGAGCCATCGAAGCGTAGGAAGCGAGATTCGAACTAGGGCTGAAACATGGTGCCTTCACCACAAGCTCGTGATCCAGTTTGCCCCCGAGCTGCTACGACTACTGTTGCCGGTAGTGGCTGGGTGCGCTTCGTGCAGGGGTTTGTCTATGAGCTATTGCAACAGTCGCCGTCTGACCCATGCCCGTTTTTTTTTTTTTTCCGCGCGCAGGGGCTGCTGCGGTCTCACGTGACTTGCCCGGAGTGCAATCTGTCCAGCGTCACATTCGACCCTTACACGTCCCTCTCGCTCCCGTTGCCGTTCGACAATGCCGTCATGGTGAGGAACGGGAACGATTCGATTGGCTAAGGTTTAGCTCGGTCTGTTGGTGGTATCCGATGATTGGTCGAGGCGGTAGGTTGCAGGTGGACACCCGCTTTTCTCTCTCTTTTCGTTTACCATGTCGCTACAGCCAAACTATTGTTGGTGTCACTTCTTTGGCGTTCAAGGTCGGATTGCTTGTTTCGCGTACGGTGTTGTTGTTTCAAGTCTTGGGTATCTGGTGGAAACATCCGCCCCCCGAGCAGCGGCTTGTTAGCGTGAAAGCTACCCTTTGTGGCTTCTTTGGTTGTTTTTTCTTGACACGATCCATACATGGATCCATCCCCCCCTAGCGAGAGGTTAAGTTTCTATATCATGTTTCCGCCGGTTCAGCTGCTGTGCCGCTTACCAGTTACGCCGCTCACGATACGTATGGTTTAGTGCCCTTGCTGCCCCAATAGCGACAACAGTCGAAGCCTTTTTTGTTGTTGTTGTTTGTTCTGCTGCTGTGGCTCGTGCCTGTTGAGCCTCTCACGATACTGTGCCCTGTCTCCTTGCTGCTGCTGCTGCTGCTGCTTCTGCTATGCTAAATATCATCTCTATAGGTGAAGGTACTGCTTCACCCTCTCCCGTACGGCACTAGGCCCGTGGAGATGGCCGTCACGCTCCAGAAGAACAACACCGTCCGAGAACTCAAGACCGCCATCTGCCAGCAGTACAACCAGGAGCGGCCGCAGTCCAAGTGAGAAAACACACGCACGACTTGTATTCCTCAAATCCACCCATGGTATATCTGTGTTTCGTGTCTCTGGCGTATTTAATGAATTTCGTCTTGGGTGGTTGTTTCGCTTGTGTTGCCCGCGGGCGGTGCGGCGTACGTGTCGCTGTGCTGCGGGGGAACCGCTTATCCTAGTCTGGCTGCCACTGAAGTTGGCACCAGTCATTTGCCGTAACGATGCGGTCCTTTTATGACAACACGTCATTTGTGTGGTGATGACCCAAGACTCTTCAGCATTTCGTACTCACCTCTGTCCCCTCGTGAGTAGCCCCCCTACTCTGTTTCTGGACGAGACCGCGGGGGGCCGAGGGAGAGCCAGGGCGGATCACGCTGCCGGGTGATTTTTGCTTTTGCCGCAAGTGATAAATCGGGAGGCGTCCGAATTTGTTGAGCTTGACTTTCACACATCCACAGGCGTCAATTCATTGGTGAGCAGGTTAGCGATGTCGATGCTAACAATATTGACGCACCCGATGCTAACCACAAAGATTCACACAGGCGTATGCCCACATGGATATGTGCGGGGCCTGTCACTGCGTGCCGCGACAAGACTTGTTCGTTGACGATGGTGATTACTAACTCGCTGTCCTGTTCCACCTACTCGTGTCGTCCCTGGCACCTCTCGTTAACATTTCGCTCGGGCGTCCGTAGCCAGCAGCAGCAGCAGCAGCAGCAGCAGCAGCAGCAGCAGCAGCAGGGTGGAGGTGGCTTGTTGACGGAGGACCTCCTGGCGGTGATGGAGGTGTGGTCCTCGAGGGTGTTCAAGGGGATGGAGGACTCGTGTCCCCTGTCGGACATGAAACCCACGGATGACTTCGCGGTGTGCCAGCTCGAGTTCCCGCTGCCGTCGTCATACTCGTCGGGAAAGGGGGGGGGGTCCGTGGCTACCGCTGTACGGGATGGTTCTTCTTCTGGGCAGACGCCCTCGCAGAGTACTGGGGAGGCGGACGGGAAGACGGTTACCAGCGGCAGTGTAGACGCTGGGGCGGGAGTTGAATGTGGCGGTGTAGAGGGAGACGGCCCGAGCGTGTTGATCGACCTGTTGCTGTCGACGTACCCGCACTCGACGCTCAAGGGGAAGCCGCGGCGCATCACTTGCAGGTATAAGTGCGATGGGGGTAGTTGACGCACTGGCCCCTGTTTGTGTGGTTGTTGTCGCCTGATGTTGTTGTGGTTGCTGTCTGCTGCGCCGAATAGTTTTGTGGCTTTGCCTTACGTCCATCTCAGCCGTGTGTGTGTGCGTTTTTCTTTTTTTCAAGGGCCAGCAATTATGAACAACGACCAGCCGCTGCGTGTAAGAGTCAATTGCATAATCACAAAGGGGATGCATCGCCCCTTGCGTCCCATGCCCCCGCCCCACCCACCCCATCACCCACGGACCCCCTGCCGCTCTTTTTTGTCAGGAACGGGGTGACCAACAACGAGATCCACGGCATCATCCGGAGGCACATGGCTCGCCTCGTGCCGTCGCTCAACCCCAGCCCGAAGGAGACAGAGAGCGGCACCGCCGTGGGTGGTGCGGCGGCGGCGGGAGGGGGGGCCCAGGCGACGTTAGAGGCCGGCATTAGTACCACGAGGTACCGTAAAACTGTAGCCAGAGCCCGTGCAAGTATAGAGCCAAGCAAGTTTGTTTCGATACACGCGTTGAATTGCAAGCGCGGTTGTTATCTCAACACACGAATCAAGCCGTGGAGTGTTACAGCAAGTGCGGCCTGCCACAAGGGGTGTGTTTTCGTGCCGTCCATCTATATTGTTGAGCTTTTCGAGCCGCGCGTTTTTTTTTTTTGAGATCTAGGTTCGTCTCAACGAATCAAGGCTTTGGTACAGAGTACGAATATAATGTTTCCGTGCCATTCAAGCCACCCCCTTACCGTCGCATCCCGCAAGGGTTGCTAAAACGGTACTACGCACATAGTACAAACGGAATGAGGTTCACTCGGTTTCTCAACAGCGTCGGCGGGTCGGTGGGTGGACCGGAAGATGTATCTACCACAAAACAGAGAGCTCAGCCTGCCGCATGCCGCAGAGCCACATGGTTGCCGCCGGTGGTCCCGCAAGAGGCGAAACATCCGCCCGAAATCGAACCAACAAATGTTGCTGATGAAGACCCTTGCGGACCTCCATCCACATGTTGAATCCACACAATACGATGCCACACCATACCGTACCATACGGCCCTCCGTTCACATGTTGAAACGCCAACACTGCCCGCTTGTTGTCACCCCCCCCCACACACACACCCAATTGTCCTTGTGCCTTTTGAGCGTCGCGCCAAGACTGCTACTGTTCATGTATGGTATATACGTTTGCGTAAGGTTGCTGCGATGTCGAGATGCGGAGAAGAACGCCCAGAGCGTTCATTCACCAAGCGTTTTGTCAAACAGAATAATGGTTTGATCCCCATGACACCTCGAAGAGCGATGGTAACAACCCTGCAAGAACAGTTTTAGTTGTGATGAAAGTAGCCGATTTGTTCAGGTCTCCCTGCTTGCGTGCTTGCTTGCTCTCCCCCCGTTCAGCGACATCGACGGAGACTACGTCCACGTCACGGACACGATGGCGATCGACGCCTCCGCCGTCACCATCAGCAGCAGCAGCAGCAGCAGGAGCAGCAGCAACAGCGGTGACTCATCCCCCTTCGTGCACGTCAAAAAGCCCCCCGCGGTGGTCTCGGAAGGGGACGGAGACCTGCCAACCCTCACGGTGTCGGGGGCGGCGAAGGCGGAGATGGACGTCGACGATGTGTGGGGCGGAGACTCCGCCACGACCGCAACCAGCGGCGGGGCCACGCTGGTGTCTTCTTACCCATCTGCGTCGCCCCCCGGCGACGCGAACGCGGGGGGCGGGGGTAGTAGCGTAGTCGAGCCGGAGGGGGGGGCGACGGCGACGGCGAAGGGGAAGGGCAAGGAGGAGGAGGAGCAGGAGGAGGAGGCGGGCGAGGTGGTGGAGGATGCGCTGCCGTACAAGGTGTTCGTGACGGACTACAGCGGCAGCACGACCAGCGCAACCAAGGGCATCGGTGCTGAGGTGACGATGTTTTGGCGGCGACGTTCTTAGCGAGGGACCGGGGCAATGTAGACCACCTTTATGGTTAGGCGACGTCTCATTATATACAAGTATGATTTCCCTCGTCTCATTTTTGTATTAATGCCTGAACTCCCGATTCTGTAACACGTACATACCTCGGGCTTCGGGGTCACGCAGGCAGGATTTTCCCCCCTGCGCCCCGTGCCTCGTTTCGTTTTCGTTATTTAGAACCCCACCCTTCCTCTCGTTTTCGTAGTCGGGTTTTTACTACTAGCTCGCGAGGGCACGTGGTTCAGTAGTCTTGCCGAAGGGTCTCGATGCTGTCGCCGACGAGCAACAGACGGCGTTAGGCCCGTTGTCGATCCTCCGGTTCACTTATGCGCCAGCGATTAAGCTCCCTTTGGTGGCCCGCCTGTATCAATGGTCAATAATCCTAGGCCCGAGTTAGTCTATGTTATCCAACTTGACGATCGACTTGACTCTTGCCCGTGTCCCTTCCCCCCTGTGGTCGTTTGTGTGTTGATGTGGTGTCGTTGCTGCTATCCTCCCCTCTCGAAGTGACCCGGCTCTTTCATCCCCCCCTTGTCCTTTGGGTGTTGTTTTGTCACTCCTCTTCCTCCCGCTTTCACGAGCTGAAGCGTAGCACGTTGCACCCCCGCCCCCCCCCTGTATTGGTTGCGTGTGGTGCATGTTTGCGTTGCTGTTATTCTCTCCCCTACTGGAGCAGTTGCCCATGAATGACCCTTTCACTTACCCTCTCTGTTGGTTGCGTGTGGTGCATGTTTGCGTTGCCGTTACCCATCCTCTTTAGGTGCCCATGAACGACGAGCCTTTCGAGGCGGTGTCGGCGTACAGAGGCTACAGCACGAGAGAAAGTAGCGAGGAGAGCACCGCCCTCAAGGTCCAGTTCCCTCAAGATGGCGACAGGTGACACAGCATTCGATGACTGCTCACAACCATAACCTTTACCTTAGCGCCGACACTATGCAGAGCTAGTACTCGCCTCCCCGCATATCGCTCTGTCCCGGTCTTGTACAAATAGGGATGCGGGGTCAATGGTCTAACGACTTTGGCATGCACGGCTATGAGTATTCCCCACACTTTGGCAAAGCAGGAAGGTATCGGAGATCGATCCTGTGATGAATACGCTCCGTCCTCTCAAGGACGCGTGGTCAATGGACTAAGAGCTAAGGCATGCAAAACGTGAATACCCCCCGCTGTCCCCCTTTGGGAAAGTAAGAAGGAACAGTTGGCCATCGTAAATCGATCCTGTGGTAACGATACTCCGTCCTCTCCAGGACGAATGGTCAATGGTCTAGCAACTGAGCCATGCAACACAGGACGCCCGCTCGCCCCCTTTTTATGTTTAGCGGACATAAACGGTTGCGATGTAACGCGCGCTCCCCGTACGGTACGGTGAAATATATATGACGGAACGTGCATACCAGACCGTGGTAGAATAACGCACGAAAGTGTCGGTGACGTTGGCTGCTCATGGAAACGGCAGTGGGCCGACAGTGTTTTTTGAAGCAGGGGTAGGTTGGTTTAGCTGTTCATGGAGTAAATGCGTAGAAATGAAAAGCAGGTCGAATAGGTCGATGCCGCACCAGCCAGTAGCAATAGGCTGTTGCGTAGCTGTGCATGGGGTTGACATCGGAATTGCAGGGCCTCAAGATCAATGTCGCGCCGGCCGGTGAAGGTCCAGGTCCTGCAAGGGTTGCCGCTTACACGCACTCCTGCTCTGTGTATCAGTCCTGCCATCCTTTTCGGACTCGACGCCCCCGGGTACTATTTTTTATTGTCGTTAAGGATTGTGATGACAGACTTCGTTGTTGATTGAGGATGACGAAAATGCTGTTGTTGTCGTTGGAAAGCATGCATCATTAGTGTCTCTGTTTTCATGCGCCACCTCCCGTCGCACCCTGTCGTTTTTCACAACGTGCCCTTGGCTCTCTCCCCCCCTCCCCCTCGCGGCAGACCCACTTACCAGCCCCACAGCCTGCTCGACAAAGACGAGCTCGAGGCTACGGACACCCACCCTTCGGTGAGGAAGGCGGAGGAGGCGCAGAACGAACGCCAGAGTGTGCCGATCGACAGCTGCTTCGAGAAGTTCACCGAGTGCGAGGAGCTGGGGCAGAGCGAGCTGTGGTACTGCTCGAGATGCAAGACTCACCGTCAGGCAAGGGGGTGGGGGACACAGAAAGATAGACGGGGGAGGGGGGGGAGGACGGTGGGGCGAGAGCGGGAGAGGGAAAGGGAGAGAGGCAGCCGGTGGTGCTTCGAGAAAAGAGATCGTGAAGTGTAGGGTTTGGTATCTGCAGCTCGTGACGTTTCACTTTCCCCCCGATATGTTCTTGTTGTGGTTATGCGCAATCTGGCGTTTGATGTGATGGGGGGGGTTCGTCCGTGCTCTGCTGGCTTTTTTTTTTGTTGTTGCTACTTGCTTCTCGCGTTGGAAGTCCGAGCGCTCTTTGAATATTGCGTCCCCAACACTTAGGGTTTAATCATACCCAACACATGAACATAACAATACACCCAACCCTGTTTCTAAGGTATTGCGCGCGCCGGAATGCCTTCGTTGTTCCATCTCCTCCGCCTCGCCTGCGAAGGAACGGCAAAGTGTGTGCGTGTCTTTTTTGGCATGCCCCCCGCCCCCGACCTCCCTCCCGTTTTCATCCTCTCTCTCTCTCCCAACAGGCTTCCAAGAAACTCGACGTCTACTCCGCCCCGGATGTGCTGATCGTGGTCCTCAAGAGGTTCCTATTCACGCCGGGCGCGCTGACGGTCTACCGCCAGAAGCTCGACACGCACGTCAGCTTCCCCATAGAGGGGCTCGACCTCACTAGGTGGGTGGGGCGTGGGTGCTTCATGCGTTGCCGCGTGCATGTGTGCTCGTTCCGTAGAGAGGGCCCGCACACCTCAGTGGGCGTCCGAGCCCTCCTTGTCCTGAGGGTCGAACCTGTGTGTCGGCGGGTGGGCGCGTTTGCCGCGTGCGACTGTGTGTTTGCCTCCTCACACTCCGTGCAGAGGGTCGGCACACCCCCATGGGCGTCCGAGCTCCCCTGTGCTGAGGCTTGACCTCTATGTGTGCGCGTGTGGGCGCGTTGCCGTGTGCGTGTGTGTGTGTCTTTATTATTGACATCGAGGGCGCTAACCGGCCGACCAATATGCGTGTTTGTGTGTGTGCCTCCCCATAACCCGTACAGCGGGCCGGCACATTTCAATGGGCGTCCGAGCGTTCCTTGTGTTGATGCGCTTGAACTCTACAGGGAACGCGGCGTTAACAGGAAGTGTAGTTTGTTTTTTTCAGCCGTAGAGACTGGCTCGACCTTCGATTTGTACCCAATGGAGGGGCCTCTTGTCCTCATCCGATGTGTACCAATTCGTCCTCAGCCGTCTGACCCCCCCCCCCCCCCCCCCCCCCCCCCCCCCCCCCCCCCCCCCCCCCCCCCCCCCCNTTGTTTGGTGTGTATGCCTCAATGCTGGTGTGGTCCAGCTCGTCACGTGCATGAGTTCGCCTACCCCAAAGGGGCTTGACCTCGCTACGAGTGATCCCCAACCGATCTGCTAATTTGGTACAGACGGTCAAGCCTGTGTCACTCACTCACTCACGAGTCTCTCTCCTCTTCCCGCCCGGGACTTTCTGTTATCTTTTCGCCTTGGGTGGTTCTGTCTGCAATCTTGGTGGTCTGCAGGAACATACAGCGCGCGGGTGGGCCAATCTTCAAGGAAGCCCCTCCCGTCTACGACCTCTTCGCGGTGTCGGTACGATGTGCCCTTTTGGGGCTGTCTCTTATACANGGGGGGGGGGGGGGGGGGGGTACCGTTGTTTCGAGTTCACGTAGCCTCCAGGCCGTAGTGATCTATCTCCCTCTGCATTGGCACAAGGCGAAGGGAACTGCCTTGGCTGTGATGCTTTGATGTGACTGGTGTGGTGTATCCAGGTTTGCTTATGCGGCAGCTTTGCTGCATGCAGAATTCGCCACTCAAGAAACACCATCATCATCATCATCAACAACAACTACAACCACGACGACGACGACGACGGCAACAGCGACAGCAACAACTGCAACAAGTAGCCTTCCTCACTGTTTCCTATTGTAGAGCTTACCGTATGCTTCCGGGTGTTGGCCACGTTGCCACCCCATCCGTCCGTCTTGCAACCGCAGGAGCACTCTGGCAGCCTTCGCGCGGGGCACTACACCGCCATCGCTCAGAACTCCGAGGATAAGAAGTGGTACAGCTTCAACGACTCGCACGTCAGCCCCACAAGTGAGCCCCCGCGCCATGACATGATGTGTGGACAGTTGTTTTCTTTTTCCGCCGCGTAGAAATAGTGTATGCTACAAGATGGATGTTGGCCTACCACGCCGATGTGTGTTGCGTTTTTCTTTCACGAGCAGTTCCATGCAATCATTCAATATACTTTTGTTTTGGGTAAAACCAGTGTGCTACAAGATGGATACGAGCTTACCGTGCTGTCATGTGTTGCGGGTAAATTTTGTTGTTGTTGACATTGTTGATACAATCAACTGAAAATAGATTTGTTTGGGGTAGAATTACTCTGCTACAAGATGGATGTGATCGATGTCCATCAGTATAACTTTTCCTCGTTTCGTACATGTGCAGATGCCTTAAGGGCAACGGGTTGCGGCGGCGACTGCCCCGGATAGATAAACAGTTGTTTGAAGCCCCCTTCGGCACAACGCCCCAGAAACAAATGTCCCGCCGTCCTTCCCTGACAGAAGTTTTCGTGCTTGCCGCCGATGCAGAGAGAGACAAATTTCGCGATAGACTCCGCCCGCCGCAGGGCAGTCCCGGCTCAATCTTTCTTTGCGAGAAAGAAAGCCCACTGCAGTAACTTGAAGACATCCTGTTCAACGATTATTCTGTGGTGTAATGTCGATCGGATAGTCTTTCTGTGGTTTTATGTACATGTCCTGAAAAATATTAAAATATGAAAAAAAATCTCCTGTGCGACCCTTCCTCTTGTGCTACCCCGGCTGATACGTAAGATATAGTCTATACGCCGAAACGCCTGTAAACCGGCGCCTTGATAAGAATGGGACGAATGCATACACAGGTCCGTCTGCATATTTGTCCGCGAAGGTCCTTTTTTTTTTCTCTTTCTCTCACATCTTTAGCGGACCGCAACCGTCATCGCCCGTGGTGACGCTACAGCGTCGGTATGCGACGTGTCCCGCCGTATGTAGTGTCTATGTATACGCACTGACTGACCGACCCCCTTTTTGTTGCGATCGGTGTCACTTTGTCGCCGCCACGTTTTCGGCCTTTTTTTTTTTGCGGATCGCTTGCTCGCTCGCTCGCTCTCCCGAACTGGCTCTGTTCTTTCCGCCGGGGGCGCCGTGGTTTGATCAGCGCCCGACAAAGGCCCCAGCAGCGAGCCGTACGTGCTGTTCTACCGGAGAAGAAGCGGGGTTCTGCGGTGGGCGGGACTGGGGAGAGATCACGCCGCCTGATGATCCAAAAGTATGTATGTAACGGCGTAAATACGAAAGAAGAACGATGCTTTGCCGCGGAGTGCAGGAAGTCGAGGGCGGGGGGAGACGTCTTGATTGATGCTGCCTGACAAGCTTTTTGTCGAGATGGGCGTTCCGAGGGACGAGGTCACAGGTCGGAAACCGCTTTTGTAGAGATGTGCACCCGGAGCGGGAGGAGGAGGAACCGTTTTGCTTGCTGGTGCGGGACGTGTGTGAGGGAAGAAGGGGACGCGCGAGGCTGCGGAGGGCGGGTGGCTACTGACTAGACTGATACACGGGCCATTCGTATACCAAGAGTTTTCTCTCGGATAAAACGCGAATACCACAAATGGTCCCTATATTCCTGAACGGGTTCGTGCTGCGGTTTCACAAGGGGGGGGGTGCACTAGATGGCGTATCACACGGCGGCGCGGGGTGATCGCCCAGTCGCCGCCCGTGTGAGGTAGAAATGAGGCGGTTGGTTGTTAAGGTCTGTCTGGTTGCCTCTGGTTCATACGTTTCGAGAACTCAGTGGACGTTTCTCGTATTTGTGAGATCTCGTCTGTCTTTTCGACAGTGAGGGCCATCGTTGTCGGGATTTTCGTCGGGTGGGTGTTGCTGCGACGGGCGGAGGGGGGGGCGCCGTGTTTGGCTGCTTATTATCTGCGTCATGTGTTTCATCCAGAGGACGCTGTTCCCCTTTATCGTCCTTGTTTTGATCGTTTTTTTCGTGCGGGCTTAGTTAATTACGTATATAGCAATGGTGAAGTTTCCTGGTCCGTTTTGTTTCGTATACCTGTTGTTGTTGTTGGGGAAGAACGAGTGGATGCATGCAAAAGACCCGAGCAGCACGGCCACTGCACCAGCTATGTGGTGCGGTTTGTATACCGGTTCTCCTGGCGTGCTTGCATCCAATATTTAGTGTCGTGGTGGTATCTCCATGCCATTGTCATCTCGAATTCCTTTTTCATGGTCGTTTTTTGCTTGCCGATGAGGGGGGGGGGTTCTCTACGGGAAGCACCATTCCCAACGGGTGGTACGAAGCAGAATTTCGATCGGGTATTGCATTTTCTTTTTTTGGAAAATACACATTTTCATTTGTCGTGTAACGTTGGAGAGGAGTATCGACTGCGAGTTTTCTTGTTGGGTCGTATGTACCCGTGTGACGTCGATGCACTCACTAGAACACGGCAGTGGCCTGTTAAAACGCCGCTCAGCATTTTTTGCCCGGTAAAGCTCTGCCGTGGTTCTGAAGGCCCTTCGCGCCCACAGCCACCCGAAATACACAACGACATGATCCGTTCATCTGAGGCCGACCATCTCCCCATTTCTGAGGTTCGAGGTCGGATTGGTCGAGGTAGGGTTGGCTTTTGTGGCACGTGGAGGTGGAAAGTCCTCGAGAGGGGGTTGTTTCATGCTGCACCATCTTGTAAGCTTGCCGACTTTGGCCCCAGAGGCCAGCCCCCCATGTAGGATGTGCGCTGAACAACGGATAGTAGGAACGCCCTGCCGTAGAGAGCGAAAGTTACTTATTAGCAGCTACAGCTCCATCTGGACTTCGCCACCTTACTTATGTAGAATCAACGTGTCATACTCTACAAGAATATCACACACGAAGCGACGTGTTCGCTGTGTGTAACTTCTAGTACTCGTGGCTGCCGAATGTGACGCCATCAGTTTCGAGCAGAGGGTCATGGGGTTACCAAGGGTGCCCGGAAAAGTTACTCCGCACACCTGCGTACCCCCCCCGGGGAGATCCCAAAATAAGTTTTTTTTTCCGTCATTTTTTTTCGCTCTTGATCCATGACGTACAGTTGGCGCCCGCAGTTAAGAAACGCTTATCTCAGGTCCAGCCTCGAATCCTTATTGTGGGCTATAAACTCAGCGTATGTCGTTCAGTTTGTTATTTCAAGTTTCTTATTTTTTCGTGCAGCCAAATCCTGCTGAATTTCTTCAATCAGCAATTTCTTATTATTTCTCTCCTTGCATACTACACAACGTTCCAAATATACAAATGATTTGCACTGCTTTCCTCGACCCCCGTACTCAACCCCGATTCTCACTCCCGACGGCTGCACGTAAGGCCACTCCCTAGAAGCGAAATGTATCCAGCGGCATCGTCTCGCTATCGCTACAAGGTCTTGTACCCCCCTCATGAGTGAGGGCTGAAACTAAACAAATGCATCAACACCGCATGATGCCTCACCCGCACGCTGACGTGCCCAACAACGAAAACTACCCCGTCATTATGATGCAAGCTCCGTGAGGATTTTCGGGGTGACTACTGGTCGTAGGAACTTCAGGGATCGACTCTCTCAGGGTGGGTCCTACGTAATTTTTTTGGACTCGAACATCGAACATCGAACCAGCGGCGTAATCATGTGATTGGCCAGGAAGGTCCAACAGCCCAAAGAGATGTTAGGGTTTTCGGTTTTCGAGTTTTTGTACGCCGGATCTTCCAGGCAGGGGCGATTCCGCCTCAAAAACATCTTTCCAGTAAAACTCGAAAACCTATTNCAAAAACATCTTTCCAGTAAAACTCGAAAACCTATTACTAACCGACGTTGTCGAACAGGTGATGCAGCGACCAGCGACGCGCGCCACCCGAC